AGGATCGGGCCAGTGACAGGCAGCGGGTGCATAAGAAGCTCGAGCCATGTCGTTTTCTCCGGGTGAGGGAAGGAGGAGTAGAGGAGACAGGAGGAGGTTGTTTAAAATGGGGAGAGAGGGAAGAGGGCAGGAGGAGGAGGAGAAAGACGAGGAGGGAGAGGGAAGGAGAAGAAAAACGTAACAGCAAAGAAAATGAAAAAAAAATGGCTGGGCGCATTACGTGGCACATCAATGACGGCAGTCGGGAGGAGGAGGAGGACAACAAGGACGAGGAGGACAACAAGGACGAGGAGGAAGACTAGAAGGAGGACAAGGTGCCAGATACTGTCTCTTATACACATCTAGATGTGTATAAGAGACAGGAGAGAGAGAGAGAGAGAGAGAGAGCCGGTTGATTGAATTTGACAACGTCGCTCTTCCGGCCATGTATGAGCCCATCACGCCTGCTTTGGTGGTCAAGGACGTACTAGTATACAGAAAGGAGGTACATGGTGACCGTAGATAACGGTTGCCTAAGCGGTCAAAAATTGGATGCAGGAAGCTCCACCTTGATGGATTCTGGCCTTTGAAAGCGCTTTAACCCCCTCTAAATTTAATGGGCTGGGTCATCTACTGCGTTAATGGGTGGGGTTATCTACTGCGTTATTAAAGTATTATTGCTTGACAGGAGCAGCTGCTTTGCTTTTCCTCAAATATATGCAGGCCTTCAAAGTCAGGCCCCACTATTGCGCTATGATGTTAGCGCTGAGAAAGGACGAACCTGACCGGTTTTACGAGTAGGTGCATGCCCTCTACGTGCGGTATTATTTCACTAGGGTGAGGTCGGTACGCCCAGATAGGTCCTATTGTAAAATTGCCCATTCTTCCCGTAGGACAGAGCAAATCCGAATTTCGTGAGTTTTTTTTTTTTTTACGGTTTTTTTCACTCCCGGTAGTCATTGAAATTGGACGAGCGCCCAGGATCCTGGGGCACGGTTCCACTAGCAAAGGAGTAAGGTAAACCGTGTCCCACAAACACCTTAGGGACATCTGCGGGACATCGTCCGACCACTGATGCAGGAGAATCGGATGGCAGCAAAATTGCGAGGGATTTATATTCTGAAGTGGTGTTTTTTTTTTTTTTTGTGCTTTTTCTTTCCAGTTCCCAAGATAGAGGCGGGAAAAGAAAATAGAAAGACTCATTTTAATTGGCAGCTCTTCAAAAGATTAAAAAAAATCAAGTACTCGAAGGGCATAATTTTGACCCCCTTCTTTTTCCGGGTCAATTGTTAATACCATCCAGTACTTCGATTCTCTCAAAATATACGAAATGCACGCTTCAGCATGGCAACCGTCAGAGGAGGGAGTCCCATCAGGCACACGAAGGGACTCCCTCGAGGTGGTATGCGTGACTGCAACAGTCACGTACCACTCTGTCCTGATTAGGTGTTGGCTGGGTGGGGAGCAGAGGGTGGAGACGGGAGGGTTAGTGGGACGGCTGCACTTTCAAAAGTCCGACTTCTTCCCATCTTGGGAAATGTACCGTCGCCATTTTTCTTTTTTTTAAGTCTTTAAAATTACTTTTCTTCCTTTTCTTACAGTGCCGCACAGGGCCAAATAGGCCATGACTCGTGTGCTAGTGGAACAGTGCCCCTGGTTTGGTCAGGACAGCGGTAGAGAGGTGGCCAGTTCTGTAGCTAGACATATTACCGGATGCCTGAACCGAAGCTGAGTAATGGTCCCAGATTTGCTTTCACCGGGTTGTTTGTGGAGGGCTTCCGGGGGCAAGGTCCCACTTGCACGGATTACGAGACTCTGGCCGTCGATCTTTGCTATCTACGGTCAATATCGCTTAATTCGTGTAAGTGGGACCTAGCCCCCGGTCTCCCTTTTGATATTAATAAAGTTTCTGGTTTGTGTAAAAAAATAAAGTTTCTGTTTGTAATCTTCACGATTTCGCTTCATCTATTATGATTTATTTTCCGTCCCTTTTTTTTATTTTTATTTTTATTTTTATTTTTATTTTTAAACACCCCCTGCATATTGCGCGTAATGCCCAAGGGTGAAGTACACATTTGAGTCAGTTTTCAGGTCACACTGGAGAGGCCCGCTACCCAAATGCCTCAAAGTGACCCTTTTGTCAGCGGCCTGAGGGGGGACCCTTTTTGAGACCACCTCCAGACCAAATTACCTTTCGTTTTTTTTTTTTTGATGTTCGTGAATTGAAGAGAATGGTAGACGAAGAAGACAGCACGCCAAACAACTGAAAGTGCGGCAAGAAACATTTACGTTGTAGATAAGGCCCAAGTGTTATACTTACTGACGTGAAAAAGATTTAAAAAAAAAAAAATCCATCTTTTTGTTTGGTCCTCCCCCTTGTGACACTTGCCCTGAATGCAAAGTGTCAGGGTCGTGACTTCGTCCTTTCTAGACGAGGTCCACCCGTGTGACCAAATGCCTAAAAAAACGCCAACCAAAAGCCTCATTTTTTTGAGACTTCTGGTCCCGTTTGAGTATGCCCTAAGTCCTCTTCCCAGCCTATAAAATATCCATCACAAAGTCCCAAGTATTACAAGAGAGCAAAATACACCAGGGCTCACCCCAATAGAACGGACGGGGGTCTTGGCCCTTGCTAACACTTTCCACGTCCGCCAAGGCTTAAACCACCAGTACTTGACCCAGCTATAGGCCGCCAGAAAGCTATAGGCCGCGGGCCTTTCCGTTAAACCACCAGTACTTGGCCCATACATTGGCTGCGGGCCGTTGCCGTTCGGGGTACCGGACCTCAATGGCTGGAAGCGCCATCCACAAAAATTCGAAACGGTACCCTGGCTCTTAGGCAAAAATTGGCGCGCAGGGGGATTTCAGGCTGGGCAACGATAGCTGGGCCAAGTACTGGTGGTTTAACGCGCCGACAGCTTGGAGGGTCGGCCAAGGGAAGGCCCGGTCGCTGCCTTAAGGCCGGGCCCCTCGGTGCCTGAAGGCCGGGCCCCGGTTCTGTAGGGATGACACTACAGAGGAAACCAAGAAAGAAAAAAAAAAAATCAAACACACAAAAATTAGAAAAGAACAAAAACGAACAGAAAAAAAAAATGAAGTGGGGCGCGCGCGCGCACGAGAGAGAGAGAGCTCAGGGAGAGCTCAGAGAGAGAGAGAGAGAGAGAGAGAGAGAGAGAGAGAGAGAGAGAGAGAGAGGCGGTGACCTGCACTGAGGGTTGCAGCAAACTCGCCGCCCCTCCCTCTCTCTCTCTCTCTCTGTGGACAGCACAAAAGACAGTAATCATGGCGGTGTATCTTTCCATGTTCTAGCGGAAGATTCACTCTCGTTTTGCACATTTCGAGAGTGATCAAGCGACAGACACTCAGAGAGAGAGAGAGAGAGAGAGAGAGAGAGAGAGAGAGAGAGAGAGAGAGAGAGGGGCAGCGAGTTTGCCGCGGCCCTCTGTGCACGTCGCCGGCCCCCTCTCTCTCTCTCTAGGTGGCTCCACCACTCTCGAAATGTGCAAAACGAGAGTGAATCTTCCGAAAGATACACCGCCATAAATTTTGTCTTTTGTTCATGTCGAGGTAGTGACTTTGCTTTTCCTTTTTTCCATGTTTTTTTTCTATAATGGATTTCGTCCCGTTTTTCTGTCGTTTCTTTTTGCATTTTCTGTTTTTTTTTTTTTTTCTCTCTTCTTTTTCCCGTGTTTTTCTCCGAGTAGGTTTGGCAAGTTAGCGTCCGGTAGTTCGAGCCTCGGCAAGGCTCGGCATACGGGTTGGTCGAGGCTCGGACTTGATAGCTGGGCCAAGTACTGGTGGTTTTAAAAAATCCCGCAAGTCCTTCGGGACGTCGTTAAAATTGGAATGATACAGATAAACAAGATTAGCATAGCCCCTGCGCAAGGATGACACGCATAAATCGACAAATGGTAAAAAAAAACAAAAAAAAAAACACACAGAAATACAGAAATTTCACCCGCCGCAGCCTATTCTATTCCACAGTCTGTTCTCTGGAGCGTGGTCCCATGAGCAGTAGAATAAGAGTATGGCTGGGCCACTTTGTAGCAGCAGCCCGACAAGGTCATATGAATGTCGGCTAAGAAAACGGGAGCAAGACAACAACAAAATTACTATCAAAAAAGAAAAAAGGAAAATATTTTGAAATGCCCCCGAAGTTTGCGTTTATTTGCAATTTGCCCCTCCGACGGCCGACTTACCCTGATATGCCCCTGCGCCTCTGTGAGTGAGGGGCACAACTTTTTGGAATGCCCCTACCGGACCGCCGGTCGTATTTCCCCTGCTGCCTGTCCGATTTGCCCTTTTGTGGGGGATGCATCGTCCTGAGATGCCCCCCAGCAGGGAGGCTCTAAGAATTTGAATTCAAACCCCATACTTTTCCAGGCCGCCGCGCAAAAAAAAGGGCTGCACTCCATGTCGTGTGCACTGCTGCAATCCACCGTGTAGCGCGTTCTTCAGCTACTGCGACCCACTGCTGCTTTGGACGTCCGCGGAGTACGTTGGCGAAGGTCAGTGTTCCTCCCCTTGTTCCATGCCTCTCTCTCTCTCTCACACACACACACACACACACGTGTGGCAGTGTATATTTCCATGTTCTAGCGGTAGATTCATTCGATTTTGCTCATTCTATAGATGGAAGTACCATGAGGCCAGCGACGAGGTTGGAGACTTACCTGTTCTCTCTCTCTCTCTCACGCGTACACACACACACAATCAATTTTATGTCTGTCTGTTTTCCTCTTGTTGTCTGTTCTCCCTCTGTTTTTTTCATACTTTTACTTACCCAACTGAGCACCCTTAAGTAGTGCCAAACAATCGGTGGTTCCTCATTTAGAGTGCCTACCGCATTCTTAGGGGGGCTGCTCAGTTCGGGATGTCTGTGTTGCCTGTGGGTGATGACGGATGCTCGTCGGGGTGCACAATCAAAATTTGTTGAACTTTTAAGGATAGACGACAAAGTCCCCAATAATTCCTTAACGTTGTAGACGGGACGACAAGGCCAGGCGATATTACCAAGGCCGGCCCAGCAACCCTGAATGCTTATATGTCAACTCGCTGTCACTTCTCTTCTGCTGAGGTCTCTGGAGGAGTTGACCACATGCTGGTATGCCAACTCACAGGGCAATAGAAGGGTTGTTTTACGAATCCCCCCCCGACGCCCCTCTGGCCAATGTGGCTACTGCAGCATCAGATCAGGATGGGTGGTCAAGCTAGAACTTGCCAACTGCTTCACTCAGGTAGGTTCAATGCACACTGGTCAGTACCAGTCCTTGGGGGATCTCACTTGGAATTACTTAACTACAATCACTTCAGCAGGTTGACCTACCTATCTACACCTGCAGCATCTCGCTGACTCATGACCTAATCCACATCAACAGAAATTGGCAACAGCAGCTTAGTCACAAGGAGAGGATTGGCAACATCCAGGCACCAAAGACTCGAACCGTGCAGCTCATACAAGGGTAGCACCAGGAAGCACTTCACTCCAGGTCGCTTCATGAAATCCCCATGCTTGCAGGTATGCACTCCTTGCGAACTCAATTTTCTTCAGCTGCTGCTGATCACCCCCTCCCCCCCTCCTTTCTTGTTTTTGCCTGGCAGCCTTGATCTCACCACTCCCCATTCAAACACACAGTGGAAGATAACGATAGTCTGCTGTGATACCACATCTTACACTCCCCCGCCCAGGATAAGGCATCCGCCCCAGATAAGCATGCATGGATGGATGAATAAATGAATGGATGGATGGATGGTGAAGGGTGTTTTCTCGACATGATAAGTATGATATATATGATTCACCTGTCCAACAATCTCCACCATCTGTCTATGTTTGTTGTGAATTCTCCTGTTGGTGGAGCGAGAGAGAGAGAGAGAGAGAGAGAGAGAGAGAGAGAGAGAGAGAGAGAGAGAGAGAGAGAGAGCAGAAAAAGAGGAGGTTATAGTTTGTTGGCTAATATGAGTGGATGAGGTGGATTTTTGGATACACTTTTTCTTTTCAGGCTTGTGCCGATGGTTGAAACATCAGATGGAGCACCTGTTTGCAGGAAACGACTGCGACCAGCATTGTCTGGTTGTGGTGTGGACGGGCTTAAGTTCGATGACCCATTGACGGGCAATGTCATTCTCCATGTATGTGCGGAGAGTGGGATAAACTGTGATCTCCATGTGCACAAGGAAGCACTTCAGCGCAGCAAGTTCTTTGCTGCTAGACTTTCGGACAGATGGGGAGAAGGAGGAGGAGCCATTACACGGTTATTTGTCCATTGCAAGGATGCAGAAGCATACATACAGACTCTGAGATTGCTTTACGCGAAGGACTTCAATGGAATATTCAAGAGCGTTCAAGGTGCGCTGGCCATTCTCGAAGTGGCCGCCGAGCTCCTTTACGATGAATGTGTTGCTGCATGCATCCGATATCTGGAGGCGGTGCCATGGACTGAAGAGGAGGAGGCCATGGTGGTGGAAGCCATGGGTCGGCTACAGATCGACGGTGCAGATGATGTCTTGGCCCGACTCCGACCTGTCTCGGAGCGGTCGGTGGAGGATATGCTGGAGGGCCTTGTTCATGTTGCAACTCACAGCCCGCAGCAGAACGGACCGGCTGTGAAGGCCTTTGTTGCAAAGATCCTCAGCGATTATGCTTCGAGGGAGTGCGTACGTGCAGTGCTTGAAAAGGCATTCAACTCCAGCCTCAAATCTATCAAAGATGGGGTGGAGGAGTACTCGACACCTGTTGTCAGACGCCGGCACGACGACATTGAAGCGCTGCAGAAACAAGGACTTCATATGGCAGTTGTAACAGGAAGGCATTTGCTGTGGATCGTGGAGCGGATGATTGAGCTGAGGGTGGCGGACAATGCGGTTGTCATGTGGAGCGTGCAGGCACAGTTTACGGAAAACCTTGTGCGCGCATTCTCAGAAGATGCTGTAAGGAGCTCTGCGCCGGGTTTGCCTTCCCTTGTATTGAGATGCACTTGCAGGTTCAGCGGGGCAATTGCCAATGGTGACATACCTGCTCCGAGGGATGTCCGCGCAAATCTTGTCCGGCATTGGCTCCCGGTCATCATCGTGTCAAAGCGGGACGAACAGATGTACAAAAGCCTTTTTCTGGAAGTCGAGCAGATATTTCTTCGAATCATTTTGACCTTGCCGATGGGGGTTTCCCAGGAACTTTTGCCTCAATGCTTAAATTTTGCGACTCGTACACACATGAATTGCCCGCATCTCGCTGCCACATTCAACACTTGGTTCAGGAGAGCAAGCGGAGTTCCCATGTCATCGAGTATGCCAGCATTCTCCACGCCTTCATCGAGTAGACCAGCATTCCCCACGCTTTCAAGGGCTACTTCCCCAGGCAGGGTAGCGCAATCCGCTGTGAACGATGATGCGGAGGACCCTGCTGTTGAGCATGTTTTGGTTGACCAGGGGGTTTCAGGAGGTAGGAGTGGATGAGGATCCGGAGGACTGAGTTTTGGCCGATCACTTAACTTTTGTCAGCTATGCGACAACTCTACCTTGTACGAGATGGGTTGACCGTCAACACGGCATGGGTTGACCGTCAACACGGCATGGGTTGACGGTCAACAAGGGGTTATAAATAAACAGTCTTTATCCTTTTTTCAATCATTGTGGAACAAGCCGTCTTTCTGGCTCTCTTGTAAAATTTCTGCACTGCAGTTTCGGATTCCAAGTCCGTACCTTATGCAGAGTCTGACTCAACAAACAAGGTCGTGAACTGCTGCAGCTGCTGCCGCACAGACAGTGGCCGTGCAATGTGCATATGGAGGGAGAAAGTGATGAAAGTGATATGACTCAACAAGGTTGCTCACTGCTGCTGCTGCTGCATGGACAGTGGCTATGTGTGTGCATCTGAAGGGACAAAGTGATTTCAGTGCGGTGCGTGGATCTATGGAATAACAGTGATGCTTCATTTTCTGCTACTTAGTCTTGTATGCAGAAATCCCAAGTGAGGAAGTAGAGTGTATAAGCATTCATCAACCGCTCACCCATGTCAGAAACATGTTGACTCGATGAGAATCGCTGGGAAACCAGACACACACACACACACACACACACACACACACAC